TCAGAATAAGAGACTGGATCTGACAAGGGGTCACTATCCCAGATTAGTGACAACACCTGTGTAGTGTTAGAATTCTCACGTGAACTCTAGCTACAAATGTAGTTAGGACGTTCCCACAACAATACGTCTACTAGGATAGTAAAAGATCGTTCGGTCGGACCTGAAGACCCCAGTTCTGCCCTTGCACCGGGACAGACTGGACCTTGTAAACTACTTATATAGATCAACCAGTAAAAATAAGAAAACGCTACTAGCACGAGCAAAGCTAGCAGGTGTTATTTTTTTTATCATCGTGGTCCCAACAGCGGAAGGGTACCAGGCACGGGTAAGCCTTTTACGAGGGCACCGAGTGTTCAACACTCGGTTGGAAGAATAAAAGGGATGCGATACAAGCAATCCCAGTCGTGCAATTAGGCAACAATAAGCCGTCACGTAAAACCTCCCGATAGTAATCGGCCAATACACAAAGTGTCTTGGCCTTGCCGGATGAACCCTCGCTTACAGAGCTTCGAGTTCACCGACAGGCATAGCACACTCAAACAAGCTTGACCAGACGCTTACCTTGAAGCCAGATGTCGCTCTGTGTGCTTGAGTGGAAATTCTGTTCTGTATTTATGTTTACCCTTTCGGGTCTATTCCTAATACGAAGTCCTAATCAAGTTTACAAATATCAAGTGAACAATGATCCGTTATGGATCTCCTTGCACGCCAAGCGTCGTCTGCACCGTCGCATGAGCATCTTTAACGGCTCGCGCCCTGTCCCAGACGGTGAACGTGCCTTCAAAGGGTCGCTGAGTCTTCCGCGAACTCATCCCAACCGCCACCGAGGGTTCGTACCGTAGATGGTCAGTTCTTGGTCACTGAATGCGAATCCGGCCAGTCCATTATTAATAAAAAGGACAGCCTGGATTCAGTGACATGTGGACCGTACCCAATATCCGTTAAGAGTTCAGTAGTGACGCCGTCGAGTCTCTTGCACCTTGAAGTCGCCGTACGCCATGCGGCCGAGTCTTCATAGCTTGAACGACTTGAAGGCGATCAGGTCTCTTTCTACCGGCAAATATTAGGCAATTACTACACCACACCAGGCGGTTAGGGAGGATCGGGATTGCCTGGCATACATCCGCGCTGTTTGAAGTGAATTGGCCAAGGTAAAGTGGCATCCTATATGGGTCGACGATGAATCCGGCATGGATAACGTATGGGAAGGCAGGATCCACCAAGTGGAGACTCGAATCGATCCTCACCTGAGTTCACTTATGGGATATGGCATATACAATGTACAGGTGGATCAAGTGGATCAAGTGGGGATCCTATGAAGGAAGGATGATAGGGTGCCATCTGAAGGTGGATCTGGTATCAACGACAAATGAGAAGGCAAGATCCACCGCGATATGTCTCAGATCCTACTATTCCAAGCCCAGATCCAAGGGGGTGAGGATTGCACATCGAGTGACCTGGATCCAGGATATGAGGATGGTTGATGCAACGGATCTTGAACTTTCGTGGAGCGATGGAGATCACAGACGGTCGTAAGACAATGTTGGAAGATTGGAGAGCACAGATCCATAAGTAGCGTACACTTGTAGTAAAGTGGATCAAGGCGACCTGGATCCCGAATACTGTACCCATAATGTGGCGACCACAATGATTACACCATAGATCCGGTGGATCTGATGCTAATACAGCTGGGATGATGGACCAAGGAGAAAAAGAACATGCAGCCAAGCCTGGTAGGGGATTTAGCAGGTAAAAGACATAGAGGGTAGGATCCAGACAGGTATAGGCTTCACTATGAATCAGAACTCAATTTGCACAGTATCACGCAAGTGCCTTCCTGCCCTCAAGAATAGGAACTACCTTGGCCGTACGAGCTCGGTGAAGGTTGGGAATTGCGAATCTAGTGTTGGTAGTGATAACTGGATAATACATTGGCCGTAGCCTACAACCTAGTGAGCTTTCCTTTACACGTGCAGATCCGAAGGGTTAACCGGATTTACTACTTGGCCGGGTTTACCTAAGAGGCTCTCAACTCTCAAGTTCCCGTCACAGGAGGCGGCAAGTACGACGAAAAGGAAAACAAAGGCAAGGGGACACACCCGCAAGGCAACCCTACGGCCAGATCCCAGATCTAGGCCCTGGATCCACCAAGCTCGAATATTCGCTTAGGATCCAGAAACATCTACGGACGCAGAGTGGGAGATCGTACCATTACGGCGCCACCCCATTCCCACGTCTCGCCAGGACACTCAAGCTTCACCACTTGAACTCTTCGGAAGTTACCGAAAGAGAAAGATCCCGCCCTACCGACGGGTACACAAGGTGAGGAAAGTTCGGCAGATCACGGATCATCGGGGGACCCCCTCCGTTAGTCGGTGTCTGGGCGCTGTTGGTAAGTTGGATCCAGAAATCTCGCATATTTTGCTGATCCCGCTACGCCACAAACAGATTTTAGAAAGCGGTAATTTTGTCGAATGTATCGAAATGATTGCACCGGTCTGATGGGCATTTTAGGGATACACATATGAGACAGCGTCAAACAAAATGATACTTACGAACCTAAGTATGAATCGCGATTTAAGCACTGTAAACGAAAGCGGGCGTCTCCTCTATCTCTTGAGCCCTTATAAGCTACAGAATGCTTAAAACTGAAGAAGTTGCGGTCGCTCAAAAATATTATCTCCATTTATGGGCCCTCGAAATGACGATACATTTAGTAGGTTTTCATTTTTTGAGATTCAAGTATTATTTAAAGCACTTGTTAAAAGCAATTGAATAAGGGTAGTCTTACAGTTTTTTATGAAAGGTTACACCTAATGTCACAACTCCGGTTAGATGCGAAAATCAATTGGCCAACTCTAAGCTCGACTATCTCGATAGCTCTATTGTGCATTTCAATGCTTTTGTCCATTTCACTTAGCCTGATGCTCGATTTATAGTAAATAGAGTTCGTTTTATTAAATGGAGGTCTATAAAAAGTACAAATCGATCTAGTGATAAATCGAGCTACGGCAGCCAGATCGTCCGCCTGGGATCGATCAATCACCATATCCACATCGATATCGTGTAAATCGACCCTTTTTGCCGATTTGAAATGGTAATTCGATCACAGATAAAACAAATCGATGCCCCCCTCTTCCCATCTCATTTTTACGCGTGGTTTTATGCTCGATCATGCTCGATCTAGGCTATAAAACGGATGGACATTCCATGCAAAGCACAAATAAATGGTTCGTTATTAATAGTAGTATCATTTTGTTTGACTCTATCTCATATTTTTCGTGCCCCACGTCCTAGTGGGGTTTAGATGACCAACCTATTAATAACATTGATTGGCCAAGACTGACATTATACTTGGCTATTGATAATTAATAAAACATGATTGATCCTTATCCTAGAATGAGCATAAATACTGATTCTAAACTTAAGAGAGGTCGGAGAAGTTACCTGCTCGTGAAGCTTCACGTCCCACGGGCCAAATTGCTAGTTCCATCTTTGGTGCGTTGCCAACGTCGGAGTCGGCACTTTGCGCGCTACCAAGTTCATGCAGTATCTCCGCAGATCCTTGGTCGCAATCGTATCTGATTGCAGAGCTAAGGTTGCCACCTTATTAAGCAGCCTTTATGGGATGAGCACCGATGGATCAAAACGCAGTTTGTATTATGTAGTAGCAGTCGGTTCTGCTTGAACAGGTCTACTTTTTGCTGATCTTCTGCAACACATAGAAAAAGTAGCCCAGACCGATCTCTGCTTGCAGTCACAAATTAAACAATTAAGTTTAGTTAGCTCTCTGAAATCAAATAAAACTTGCAAGTGAGCGCACCGATGTTGTCGTAGGAGTAATCCCAGCCGTAGACTGTGCTAATAGGGGCCTGCTCGCCTTCGCCCAGCAGGAATCGCTTGCGGAAGTGTGGTTGCGCGAACGAGATCTGCACGAAGGTCCCCTGGGGCACCAGCACGGATGTTATACCACTGCACATGGCGGCGGCCTGTTCGATCACCACCTCTGAGGGCGACCAAACGTCGCCTTCGTCGCACATGAGCGCGTCCATGGCTGCCTTGTCGATGACGACGTCGAAGCTCTCGGGCGTAAAGATCTCTCGCAGCTTCGTCATGTCCGCCTCTTTCCACTTCATCTCTGGCATCTCCTCCTGCCACAGCGTTTGACGTGTGGTAAGACTCTTTTTGGGAACCAGCGGCGTCAATGATACTCACACTGTACTTGGCACTCATGCGCTCAATGACGACCTTGGAGAAATCGATGTTGGTGATGTTGTGAAAGCCGGCTTTGTACTGAAACAACAACAAGTGAACCATTACTTAACACTCAGTACACTGCCCCTCCCCCCCCCCCCCACACACACACACACACCATATCGATGCTGAACGTCGAGTTACCACAGCCGACCTGCAGGACAAAGCCACATCGTCAGTTCCAGTTCTCTACAAAGACAGCGACCTCACGCACCATCAGGATGCGATCGGACGGACGGACGTACTTGGCCAGCAGCTCGGCTACATTCTCGTAGCGCGCCAACCAGTCATACGACTCCTCGCTATTAGCGTCCGGGTATCAAAAACTGACTGTCAGGCTTTACTACACTTGCAAGATAGCAAGCTTTCTACCTGTCGAAGCGCGAGTCCCAGTAGCCCTTCTCCTTGTACAAGCAGTTGTCCTCGGGCAGGTACGCGGTCATGGTCTCAGAAATTGAATGGCCAAGATTTCCTATTATAATACAACCGGCATAGTGTACTCCCTCTTTTAAGAAAAAATAATGCGTTTATTTATAAAAAAACAAAATTTGTATTTTTTATAACAAAATTACGAGTACAGTACTGTACAATCGGTAAATGCTTCACAAAAAAAGGAATGCTGAAATGTTTTCTTACAGAGGAGCCTCTGAGGACCTCTTGCTCTGCAGAGTCGACCTCTGTTAATTAATACTACGTAGTACTTTGAAGAACATGCTAATTTGTCAGGAATTACCGTAATACTGTATTATCTTTAAAAAAATGCTAATGTGTTTGATTGCATTCTCAAAAAAAATTAAAAAGGAAATGCTGACTCGCAGCGAGTCAAAGCGAGTACTCGCTTTTAGGAGTTTGAGCTCTGTCTGCTTCAATCGGCTCTGTTTGTTTCTGCTGCTCGGCTTGGCGGAGCTGAAGCCGTCGGAATATTAACTAGAGAGTTGGGCTGATAATGCTTTTCTTTAAATCTTAGAGTAGTTGCGGGGATTTCTGAAATTGATTTCAGATGTACTCAAAAAGTCCATATACCGATCACTACCCTAACCGTGGTACTGCCAGTACTTCGGTACATGTATTTCAAAAATCATTTTTTTAGAGCCGAAGCAAGCCAGTCAGCATACTACGATCCTTCCAGCGCAAATTCCAGCACTGTAACCACTAGTTGTGCACCTAAGCCAATGAATTTGACCTAGAGGCTGATCGTCACATACGCACATGCTGGCACCAGCTGGCTTGTCAAAGTCTCCAACACCGTCTTGCAACAATTTGTAATATTTTTAGGACCCAATCCGGCCGACACTATCTATTTCAATCAGATATTAAGGATCCACGGACTCGCATTATTTTAGCGAAACCGT